ATCACAGCACTGGAAAAGTTAAGCCCTATGAAGTGTTACTTTAAATAGCTAATTGTGAGGGGTTTTTTAATCCACATCTCTGGGTAGCACAGCTCAGGCCCAGTGAATTCATTTAGGAAGTACTGTAACACTGCCCTATAATGAATTACCTACATTTTCCTGTCCTTGCAACATGGATGGCCACCTCAGGACCTTCCACCACTGCTTACTGTCATTGTGTGCTGAAGCTGGCTTCTGATTACTAAACTGGATTTCCAGAAGCCTTGGAATGGGCAGTGGGATCTAGAGTGCCCTGGGTATAAGAAGCGACTGTTCCAGGAATCAGAACCATGTATTTCCCATTAAGTCTTATTTTGTTGGCATTCTGGCCTTTATGGGTTTAAGTGGCATGAGTTGGACTCTCAGTCCAGACTGCTCTCAGATGAACTAATAGTGTCTGACCTCAGAGGTGATGTTGTCACTGCCTCGCCCTGTAGTCCTTCCCATCTGTGTCCCAAAAAATTTGTAGGTAATCACTTTTCACTTTTATTTTTTTTCAAAGTTTTATTGATAAAAAAAGGTTCAGCACCACATTGTTTGTTTGTTTGTTTGTTTTGCAGGATTGGGGATTGAACTCAGGACCCTGCGCTTGCCAAGCAAGCACTTATTTTACTGAGCTATCTCCCCGGCTCACTTTTCACTTTTAAAAAATGCCAATAATTTCAGCATCAGTCTTCCCATTCAGTAAATCAGCTACCTTTATACTTTTTTTTTTTTTTTTTTGTGTAGTACCAGGGATTAAACTCATGACCTTACACTTGCCAGGCAAGCTCTTACTGCACTGAGCTATGTCCTCTGCCCTATACCTTTATCTTTCTACATCATTTAAAGTAACATCTTGGCTGGCAAACAGGGACCATGTTTCAGCTTGTAACCCAAATATTAACCACTGGACCAAATTTTTTAAGTTAAGCCTTTCTGAAAATACACTAACTCAAAGGATGGCTATCATAAAGAAATCACCCAACAACAAATGTTGGAGAGGCTGTGGGGAAAAAGGAACCCGTCTCCACTGCTGGTGAGAATGTAGACTGGTGAATCAGTATGGAGACTCCTTAGAAAAGTTGGACTGGAAATCCCATTTCAACCAGCTATTCCTCTACTGGGAATTTTCCCAGAGGATCTGAAAACATATCATGGTGATATATGTGTGCCTATGTTTATAGCAGCACAATTTGTGATAGCCAAATCTTGGAAACAACCAAGATGCCCATCACCTGAGGAATGGTTGAAAAAGATGTGGTATTTTTACACAATGGAGTATTATTCAGCTATTAAGAATGATAAACTCGAAGCCTTTATATTGAAGTGGATGCCACTTGAACATATACTCATAAGTGAAATAAACCAGACACACATGTGTAAATATCGTATAGTCTCCCTTGTATAAGAACTCAAAAGAAGAAATACAAATAGAAAGGTATAATACAAGTAAAAGGAAAGCAGGATCTCAAGGACTAACTAACCAAGAGAGGGAAAGGAGAAGAGCTAGGAAACACGAATAAGTCAAGCCATACAGTTATATGTAGAAGATGGGCAAGGCAATGATCCTGAGAATCTTTAGAAGATTTTTTAATCTAGCAGTAAATTGGAAAGATTCTCACCTTGACTAACTATATGTATTGATACCTGTGAAATAAGCAACTGCACTGCAGATGGTAATTTGTAATAGTAGTTTCATGCTTGGAGTGCCTGTCATTCTGGTCTTCTGAATAATGGGCTGCTTGTCATGACATGACAGTTGCTGCTATGATGTCTCTCAGGTAGATGGTTGTTCAAGAAGAAAGGGGTGGTGAATGAAAGCAAGAGACAGGAAAAGGAATAATGTGGGACTGTCTTGCTTCAAGGTTATATATGGTGAGATTTTTGGACTTATGTGTAAACATAAGAAGTATATAATTCTTTATGTCTGGGGCTGGTGAGATGGCTCAGTGATCTAAAGCACCTACTTAGAACAAGCTTAGCAAAGCACAGGGACCCGCAGTTCAATCCCCCAGCACCACATGCCAGCCAGCCCCGCCCCCTGGTGGGCTGAGCTGGCCACACGCACGCGCACACACACACACATACATAAATTTTTAAAAAATTCTTTATGCCTATTTTTAAAATATATTCTAATTTTTAAATGTTTTTTTATCATATTCTGTAGGGACTTAAAGTTCAACATATCAATACTCGATGAAAAATACCTGTTCCATATTATGCCTAAGATGTTTGATATGCAGACAGATAGTGAGGTTAAGCTTAATAGCCTAAGTTGTGTGGTAATAACAATAAACTTGTCTTCTGGATAGTTAACAACCTAAGTTTGCAGACCAAAATTAGAGAAAAAGGAGGGCTGCAAGGAAAGCCAACATTTTGGCCCTAGCCTTCTAAGGTCAATTAAGACTCAGGACATATGAGAACCTGTACTGTAACGTCATGTAACTCAGTAGTGTCCCAAATTTTCTAATCAAGGAGATTATGAGGCCAAAGAGGAAAGTGATTGATGATGTAGAGTGTGCCTAAGGAGAGTCACTTGGAGAGAAAACATTCTCTCAGGCTTTCACAGAGAGCACATTGGCCAAGCAATGGCCGTGACTCATCCACATGGCTGACACTGACAAAGGTTCTACAATCTGAGGTACAGGATCTCAGGATAAATCCTGAGGGGAGTTCACTGACCTTCTCAGACCCAAAAGCTACAACTCTTGTTGCATAGGTCCTGCTTTACCTTGGTCTTAACCATCCAGCAGAAAAGTATAAAAACAAAATATAAGAAGTAAAGCCATGGTGTTATGTTGAGTTATAGGGGACTCAGGTCAACAATTTCTGACATTGCCAGTGAAGCAGAAGACCCAATACTATGATGGGCTACTGGACTCTTTTAGAATATTTTACTGAATTTACACACCTATAATATTCAAATAACGGAACTTAACAAAAAAAGGGGATACAGATGAATGTCCGTTTTGTATCTGTGTATTCAAAGTGGTTAGGATAGATATATAGTTACATTCTCTTAATGAATAGAGTGATTTGTTCTAATGGTATTTGTAAATAGGATATCATGTCCACATCTTGTACAACAATTAATCACTAGGAAGAATGTATGCAATGTGTGAATTATTGAAACTGTCCTATCAATTTGATTTGAAACTGTCTCATTGCTATTTGTTTATCAATAAAATTATGGGAAAAAAATACACAAACTCAACAAGTTGACCAGCAAGGTAGGAATTCAGCATGAGCTAGAGGAGTCCTGAACTTCATGGATAAGGGAAGACCTTGGCCTTGAGAGGGGAAAGGATTTAGACATAGGTATGGAAGAGCAGGGGAAGGCACTTCTTCACCAATGTGTGAGAAGAGCAAAGATTGAACAAAATGAAAAGGCTTTGTTTTCTACCCTGCAGGAAGCCTTGTCTTTTACCTGGAGAAATACAGTTGTCATTCCAATGATGTGAGTCTTACACCTAGAATACTAGGCCAAGAACAGAGGAATCCAGCTGAGAGACATCAGAGTCTGAAGAGCCTCACACAGGAGGTTCTTCTACGCAGAAACTTGAAAGCTGAGTAGGAGCATATTTGCAGGAGAGAACATGGTGTGGGTTTGAGTTGTGAGAAGTTATACATCAGGAATACAGGAAAGCTGGGGTTGGACAGGAATATATAGGAACCAGATCTTTTATTTCATAGTGTGCTAACAGTTTTGATTTTTATCATGAAGGCAACAAGGAGCTGTCAAAGGATTGTAAGTAGTGTTTTATGTGCAGTATGGCCGCAATGTGGAGGTTGGGATAAAGAGAGTAAGGCTGAAATTGGAGGTGCAAGGAATGAGAACTTGGTCTTGGGCATGGAGGTTTTAGTGGAGAGAAAACAGATGGGGGAAGTTGGAAGTAAAGTACTAATGACCACTTGAGGTTTGGCAGAGAAGGAAGATGTTCTGACAGGGAGTGGATGATAGTGCCATAACCTGAGGTCTGGGATACAGGAGGAAGCTCAGTTTGATGAGAAAAATGATGGCCTCATTTGGGGAATGTATTGATTTTGAAGTGTTCATGAGATGTCCAGAAGAGATGTTTGGAGCTCTGTGTGTCTGAAGCTCAGGGGAGGTAGAGCCAAGTGTAATAGTGTAAACAGCAAGTGATAACTTGAGTGTTTGGTTGGTTACATTCTCAGATATTTTTTGAAGCAACGACTACTTTCCATCTCCCTGCAGTCACATTAGTCAGGCTACTATTATCATATGACTGATCTGCCTACTTCAGCTTCAGCCCATTCACATACAGCTGGCAGAGAGGTCTTCTACAGATGAGAAGGAATGTTTGTCTGCCTAAACCCCATGGTCAGTGACTCCCTTTTTCCCTATAAAAGTCAGTCCTTGCAATGGCTACCAGGTCCGGTGTGACCTATCCCTGTTTGTTTGGCTGCCCCCATCTGAAGCCACTCTGCTTCCTCATTCACTCATGCTGCAGTGTTGCTGGCTTATTCCAGAGCCTCTTGTGTTTTCTTATATGCCAAGTTCTTTCTCCTCTTAGGCCTTCATTCATATTGCTCTGTACAGAGACTGTCCTTCCCCCATTCTTTGCCTGGCTAACTGTTCATCTTTCAGGTCTTAGCTCAGATGTTTTTTTCAGAAGAGAATCCTTTGACCTCTAGAGCTGTGGTTTATGCTTTACAATTTACATAGCTGGTTTCATCCACTTTTGATATCTCTGTTAAATTTTCAGTGCTGCTAACTGCTGTTTGTCTTTGGGAAGTAGGAACTTTAAAATTGCCAATCAAACCTTGAAGGAATTTTTCTTCCTGGTTGCCTGTATTCATTTAATGACTCTAGTTAGCATGTCCAGATCCATCATCAGTTTGACAGTAGTATAGCTGCTGGTACTGGTGCCCCTTGAGTGGGGCATTCATGGTCAAGTCTAGCAGCCTTCTTCAGCCTGAATTGAGAACAATCCCAATACATGCTGTTTGCATTACAGCTGTGGGAAAGTCTACCTTTGTGAAGTTACTCATGAAAACTTATCCAGAGTGGCATGTAGCTGCAGAGCCTGTAGCAACATGGCAGAATATCCAGGCTGCTGGCATGAAAAAAGTAAGTTTTCATTTGTGGTGGGTAGTGGGCAGGCATGGGTGAATAACTAATTGTAATAATTTAATTTGCTCTAAGGAGATAAAGTAGCCCACTTTGAGTCTCCTTTTTAAAATAATTTGATGCCAGGGATGGTGGCATATGCCTGTAGTCCCAGCACTTGGGAGGCTGAGGCAAGAGGATTGCTACAAGTTTAAGGCCAATCTCGGCTACATAGTGAGTTCAAGTCCAGTCTGAACTACAGAGCAGGGGCTGGGGAGATGGCTCAGAGGAATAAGTGCTTCCCTGGCAAGCGCAAGGGCCTGAGTTCAACTACAGAGCAAAACATGGTCTCAAAATAAATAATTTTTTTTCCCCCGAAACCGGGGATCGAACTCTGGCCCTTGTGCTTGCTAGGGAAGCGCTTATTCCACTGAGCCATCTCCCCAGTCCTTCAAAATAAATGATTTTTTAAAATAGCTTTATTCTTAAAAGCAGACCACATTCACCAATGAGATTATGACATATTTGATTTGTTTAATTCTGGTTTTTATATTTCTGTACAGTATAATGTCTACCTCTGTTCTGTGTGATTTGCCGGATCATGTCCAACCATCCTAACTTGATTTAATTTTGTCATTCCTACCCATAAGTATTTGTATTATTACTGCAGCTGACCATCAGGATTAATAGTGATAGTGACTTTAACTCTTTTATAGTCTCAGAAATTTGAAGGGACCTTACAGAACATCTTGTATTCTGTGGATCAACATAGGTAATAGCTGAAATCCATAAAGCAAACACTGAGCAGTACATTCCTGACTTATGAATGAGTTCTGTTCGAAGAAAACTTTTTTTTTTTTTTTTTTTTTTGTCTTTTGGTGGAACCAGGAATTGAACTCAGGCCCTTGCACTTGCCAGGGAAGTGCTTATTCCACTGAGCCATCTCCCTGGCCCCCAAGAAAACATTTGTAAGTTGGATTCATTCCAAATCTAACAAAGTGAATCTTATACAGTATGCCTGTGAACAGTTCAGTGCACCTGTAAGAGTTTGCAACTAGTGTATTCACAGGTGAAGCACTTGCTGCATTATGTGCCAGGCACTATGCCATATGAAGAGCCAGGTGTTTCATGTACACCTCATAGCTTAGGACCTATGTTAGGTCTACTGCCTTGGCAAAGGCCATGGCGTTGGTTTCATCACCTACCACACCAGTATGAGTAGGGAAAGACTAGTTTGAACTTGTAACTGAGGGAGTGGCAACACCATGCCCCTTTGGCTCTGTATATTTCTCCTGCAACCATTTGGGAAGTTTATTGAATGGTTCAAGGTTTGTTTTATCAACTAATTGTTAAACAGTTCATCATTTTGAGATGATTGAACACCTGTGACCTGACTCATTGGTTCAGTTCTACCTCTTAACTCTTTTAACTTTTCTACATGTATACAGGGAAGGCTATGACATACCCTATTCTTTCTCTCCTTAAGTCTAACCTCTTTAAGACAGACAACTCCAGTTTCTCTCCGGATTGTTCCTTATTTGTGAAATAACTTGTCTAAGTGGTGAACTCCTGTTTGTACATTTCCCATTTCAGATTTACTAAGTGTGGTACTCAGAGCCAAGTGGGACATTCTGGATGTGGTCTAAATGGCACAGAGTATCACAGAGCTTTTTCTGCTATTCCGACTGGTATTGTGTTACCTTCTGTGAAAGGCACATTATACTTACTGAGGATTTTTAAGTTATCTCTTTTGCCTTAATGTGCATATGTATATATGTTCATGTATTTGTGAAATAACTTTTTAAATCCTTTTATTTATTTGGTGCAGGGTCTCACTACACAGCTCAGACTCACAGTGATCCTCTTGTCTCAGCCTCCCCAGTGCTGGGATTATAGACATATGCCACCATGCCCAGTTTCGGTGGATGGCACTGCACAGAGCCAGCACAACATGCAGTACCAGGGATCAAGCCTGGGTCCTTGCATTTACCAGGCAGTTGCTTAAACCACTGAGCTATCTCCCCAGCCCAACCTTTTTATTTATAAATTAATTATATATTTTTTTCTGGATATGCCACCAGTTACCTTTGGGGATTTCAAAATAGTCTACAAACTGAAGGAATATCTCTACCTTTAAGAGGTGTAGCTTAGTTTTCCTCCCCTTGAGTAAGACCTGGACTTAATGATTTGGAGTTTTTTGTGCAGTACTAGGGCTTGAGCCTGTGGCATCATGTATACTAGACCAGCCTGGTGGGTTGGTTGGTTGGTTGGTTGGTTGATTGATTGATAGATACAGAGTCTTGCCATGTAGTTTATGATGGTCTTGAAGTCACTATGTAGCCCAGGCTGGCCTTGAACTTGTGGTGATCTATCTGCCTCAGCCTCCCAAGTGCTGGGATTTACAGGCTCATACAACCACACCCAGCTTATTTTTTATTTCGAGATAGTCTAGCTAAGTTGTCCTGGTTAGCTGTAGTGGGTTAATTAATGGTCAACTTGAGTGCAAATGCCTAGCTGAACTGAGTAGGTGTGGTTCTGGGCATGGAAAAGCCATCTGAGAATTCTTGCCTGAAAAGCATAAAAGGAGAATAGGAAGGAAAGATTGCCTGCTGCTGATTTTCCTGGAGGAGCTGCTGTGGCTGGTTTTCTTCATTTGAAACTTGGTGTTCTTGTTATGGGAGGAGCTTGGGTGCTAGCTCTGCTGGGAATGGCTGCTGTTCTCTTCATGGGAGCTCTGGTCTTCACCTTGAGTTTCACTTCCTGGCTCCAGTGCAGACCTTTCAGCCTTCTAGCACAAACTTTCATCAGTGGCCTTTGGGCCTGCCGGGTATAGATCCATGATACAGACTTGCATGAGACATTGCCATGGGCTCTAAGCCTCAGGCTGGATTTGTGAAGAACATTGCTTTGGGCTCTAGGCCTCTAGCTGGACTTGTGGAGTATTGCTGTTGGATCTAGATCCTTAGCTGGATTCTTTGGGTCTCTACCATTCTGACAAATCTCTTGTATTCTTCTGCATTTGACTTTTTGGGTGAATATTATAAAATAATCTATAAATTATGTATCCTGTATTAAATCTGTTCCCTTGCAAGTCTTGATTATAACATTGGCCTTGAATTTGTTATCAGCCCTAGCTTCCCAAGTATCTAGATTACCACCAGTCATGTACCACCATACTTGGTAACGCTTGTTTTTAATGCATAGAATGTTGCAAAAATAACTGACTTTTTTAGAGTAGGTCATAAAAGATGTTATAGTCTCTGTCATGCTTGGGGGAATTCAGCTGCCATGTCATGAAGCCCCACCAGAAGGTCTGTAAGGAAAGGACTGAAGCATCCTGCCAACGGCTGCGTGAGTGGGTCTCTTGGAAGGCAACTCCCTCAGTCCCAGCACACCATCTTCAGGTGATGGTAACCTTGGCCACCATCTCAACTGAAACTTCTTGAAACTCCTGAGGCAGAACCACCTAGTTAAGCTGCTTCCCAAATTCCGGTCCCATGGAAACTGATAATGTTTTTTAAGGCACTACATTCTGGCATCATCTGTTGAACAGATAATATTCCTGTAATCCCATTATCCAGTAAAATAGTTATTTTTATCCCTTTATAATTCTTTCTACAGAAGAGAAAATATATATGTTCACATATATTTACATTGGTGATATATTCAACAAAAATTGTTTAGATCCAGATGTGTGTAGTGGTACATACCCATAAACTCAGTATGCTAGAGACTGAAGTGGGAGGACCAAAAATTCAAGGTCAGCCTAGGCAATTTAGCAAGAGCCTTTCTCAAACAAAAAGTGATTGTCACCTGCATGTCACTTATTAGGCATATTTCCCTTTCACAGTAATGTTGGCTCTAGTACCCTGCATAATAGGGAATTATTTATCCAGTCCTTTGAGCACTGGTTTATTAGTTTTCTAATTTCTGCCTGTTATTAGCTATTTCAGTGACAAATCTCTTGTAGGTAGATTTTTTCTATTAATAGCCAAATTTTGTGTACTTATATATTTTCTTAGGATAAATTAGAAATGGAATTTTGATGCCCAGAATTATCTACATTATTGATATTTGTACTGTTTTACAAAATTTCCCTACAGAAAAGTTGTATTTTCTCATACTCCCAGCAGCTCTAGGTATTACTCCTTTTATCCTTGCTAATAGAGAGAAAGGCTTATTCTGTTTTTGATTACCAGTGAGTTGAATATATGCTTATCATCCATTTATTATTCTTCAGTATACTTTGTATTCACTCCTTGTCGTCTTTTTTCTTAAGATCTTTTATCTTTTTGTAATGGCCTCATAAGAACTCAGTGTGTGTATAGTAATTAACTCTTATACATATTACTGATAATTTTGCCCAATGTGTCATTTTTCTTTTATCTTTGTATATGATATACTTTGAAATTTAGTAGTTCAATTTTCTAGTTACTGCCTTTGTTACTAAAGTGTTTTTTAAAAAAAAATCTCCCAAAGCCCAAGATTTCAAAAGCATCCACCTATATATATGTCTTTCTGTTGCTTTTATGGAATTATGCTTTATGTGACTTTAAAAGTGCTAGAATTCTTTTACTTTTTCATAAATGGTTTGCTACTTATCTGTGTAGTTTTCCTGTTTTTGTTTATTCCTGAGTAGAATATATATTTTGTTGTTATGGTATCTTGTATTTTCCCCCATTATCTTTTTAAATTGGTTGTTAGTGTTGAAAGAAAGCAACTGATTACTATCTATTTGACTTGTATGATTTAATTCACTCTATATGTGTGCTTGGGATTTTATAAAATGATAGTTATCTCTAAGTAGTAATCATTGGAAAGAGTTTCCCAATATCTCATCTGTATTTTCTTCCTTTCCATAGAACTTCAAGAATAATATTAAATAAGAGCAGTGAGGGTAGCCACCCTTTTCTTGTTCTGTGTTTAATGAAAACTCTTGTTCTGTGTTTAATGAAATTACTTCTACAATGTCAGTTTTAAGTTCCCTGTTTGTTACTCATTTCGATAGGCCACGGGGAGGA